CTTTGAGTATATTCGTTGGTGATTCTGCTGATGGAGAGAAATTTGCTAAGGAAATGGGACCTGAATGGATGAAAGAGTTAGCTCAAGGTTTCGAGGATATATGCGATAAAGCTTTGCCTTCTACTACTCATGATGCCATTGTGGATGCTTATGAAACCAATCTCATGGTAAGGTTTCTTTTCTCTAATGATTGTCTTGAAAAGTTTACGACTTTACATAGTATTAGTATTAGTGCATTCGCAAGAAGGAAGATCTTATAATATCGATTTTTGATGTGCTATAATGTGGTTATAACATACGATAGAGAGACTTGGTTTTGGCCTTAAAGTGTAGAAGTTTGTTGACTTGAAAGTGTTTGGTTGGTTGGCTCTGCATTATAATGGATGTTGAGTCTCTAAGTTTTTTTCTGTTTCTCTCTTATTGCTTTTTAGATTGAGTGTGAACCAGAGTACATCATGCCGGACTTTGGATCGAATCCTGATATTGATGAGAAACCGCCAATGCCTCTGCGTGAGTGTATTGAGAAGGTGAAGCCTTTCATAGTGGCTTACGAGGGAATCAAGGATCAAGAAGAATGGGAGGTATATTTGTGAAATTTTGCTCTTTTTTATGCATCAACGCAATATTTCTGTTTCGTTTGATCACTTGGTTCTCTCGGTTTTTCTTTTTTGCAGGAAGCAGTTGCTGAAGTGATGGCACAAGCTCCACTTATTAAAGAGATTGTTGATCACTACAGTGGTCCTGATCGAGTAACTGCTAAGAAACAGAACGAGGAACTCGATAGAATTGCTACAACGATTCCCAAAAGTGCACCTGATTCTGTGAAACGTTTTGCAGATCGTGCAGCACTTAGTCTTAAGGTTCGATCTCTCTGATCTCTCTCCTCAAAATCTTTCATCTTGACATCACTCTCTTTAATCAGATATGTCCAAAAAGGTATTGATGTTGTTCTGAAACTTACCCAATGCAGAGTAATCCTGGTTGGGGATTTGACAAGAAATATAAGTTTATGGACAAGCTCGTTCTGGAGGTGTCGCAAAGCTACAAATAGAGAATTCAGGTTTCAAACGTTTTTTCAAAAGCGTCGTTGACGCGTTTGAGTTTAGATCTTATTCTAGATCTTACATCTACTTAAAACGGTACCCATTTCTTTTAAACAAGTACTGGAAAATCAGGCTTTTAGCTTTTTTTCATCACACATTTTCAGGGTAACCGTAATAACGGCATTGTTCTTTCGATCTTTGTAACTCAAGAGATTATGTCTGTTTAAGCCTGTTTTTGGATCTGTGTAATCGATAAAAGCGATTCTTGACTGTATTTAGGGTTCTAACACATGCCTTAAACCCAATAGAGAAGGAAAAGGAAAAAAGAGCGAATAGATTGTGATTGTCCATTGGATATCTCTGTAAAAATATGGTCACTTATGATTATTGCAGCTGCGGTTGCGGCCGCTGCTTCAACCGCTGTTATAGTGGTACCGGTTGTGACGATGTAACTAGATGGTCTAAAATGTGTTTGATTCTCTATCGTTTCTTCCTACTTAGCACGAGACAAGCGTCACGTGGTCAAGTTTTATCTAATTATACAGAGATAAAATATTAGCAATTAGCACTAAAATATTTTTGTATAATATAGTCAAAGAGAACTTATTACTTTTTTTCTACATTTTTGCATTGATATATAGTTTTTGAATGGTTCTCCTATGAATTTGAAAGAAATACCGGTTACATTCACTAGAAGAATCGAAATTTCTCTAGCAATTTCCTGTTTTGTTTAATAACAAATTGGGTATGATTTACGAAGTTGTCGTAAGCTTATAAATATAAAGTCAAAGCATCTTGAGGCATATCTATATGTACAAGGACTTTGTATCATTATAGATTCGTAAAATTTTGTCGACACAAGAAGAAGCTTAACGTGTAACTGTAGTTTTGGCTATACAATCAATCTCAATGGTTCGGATGTTATGCGGTTTCCTTAGCCGGAAGAAGAAAAAGCCTTCTACGTCGTCTCCATCTTCTTCTCCATCGAGGGATTTGAAAAAGGGTAAAACGGGAAAGAAAGATGGAGGACTTCGTGTGATGACGACGGGTTCTAAGACCACCACTAGTCGGGCTTTTAGCCGCGGTAAAGGCGGTTGTTGCAGTGACGGTTTCGGTTGTGGTGGTTGCGGAGATTGTGGTGGTTGCGGAGGTTGTGGAGGTTGAAGGTTGAAACGTTTCGTGGTTATGTAATGGTTTTCTTGTTCGTGTGATCGTATTAAC